CGTGACGATATATTGATGTGTAAAGACACAAAACGATCGGTCTGTGCAAGAAACTGAACAGTATTTATATCGTCTTTTACCTCAGATTTTCACTGCAATGTCTGAATTGTCCTGAGCACGTTCAACAGCCGGCGCCTGGTCCATTTGAGAGATAGGTGGCGGTAATGCACTTATAAGTCTGCGATCCGCCGTAAAGCAAGAAGACGCTAACGCGCTCAGGACAGTTCAGACATTGCAGTGCATCAGAGGTAAAAACCGCTATATATACACTGTTCAGTTTCTTGCACAGACCGATCGTTTCGTGTCTTTACACATCAATATATCGCCACGAGCCACAGGGTTTAATTTGGTTTTGTTTGTGTATGTTTTCTTGACTCTCAAAGCCGTGATTCCTATTCACTTCCATTATATGACTGACAGATTCCAACGGTTTGAGTTAAAAATCTTCGTTTGTGTTCTACTGAAGAAAAAGTCACCTACATCTTGGATGCCCTGGGGGTAAGCAGATAAACATCACATTTTCATTTTTGGGTGAACTGTCCCTTTAAGGTGCTCTGAATGTACTGCAATACTGTATGATTGCCAAGGTGTTGCTAAGCCAGCTGTTAGGGTGTTATAGGTGGTTCCCAGGGCATTATTAGCTGGTTGTTGTGAAACAACTCAAATCACTTTAAGGAGTTACATTATAACGTGCAAATTCACACACAGTGTCTCTTTAATTTGGCCAGGATTGCAAAGTTCCTGTCTTGATATGCAAGAAGGTTTAGAGAAAATATGAAATAAGCTCAATGTTATTATAGATTAAAAAGGGTTTTATAATTAAATACTTCTGAAAGGTCATCTAAAATTACCCTCTTCCCCCTCCCCCGATTTAAGGGTCAAAGTGACCAAATAATGACAATGTCCTGGTTTCTGTTCAGACTGTGAGGCATCCACTTCAATTTGATTTAATTTATTCTGAAATTGAATTTAAAGTATTATCTGCAGTTAAAAGTAAAGCTGCCACATAAAAACTGGTGTTGCATGTGAAAACAATTCCCCCTTTAGGCAAATGTTCAGCCTAACATGTACTCACCGTGTCACCTGACTCCGACATGACTGACTATTGGACGAAAGAGGAGGGAATGTTTTAATTAAACAGCTTCAGCTAAACTATCTATTTTACTGCAATACAAAGATACACATCAGTTAAATAACAAATATATATATATATAATTTTGAATGGTAAAACTTTTGAACGGTACTGTATTTTTCATACATTTACAGAGACCGAGAGTATACCATATAGAGAGAAATACACTAATGTTCAAAAGTTTGAGGTCAATAAGGAAAAAAAAAAAAAGACTGTTGTTCATTTGGACATTCTATTAATCAAAGAATCCTGAAAAAAATGTATCACCGTTTCCACAATAATATTAAGCAGCACAACTCTTTTTAAAAAAATGTTTCTTGATTACCGAAAACTGGTGTTGCATGTGAAAACAATTCCCCCTTTAGGCAAATGTTCAGCCTAACATGTACTCACCGTGTCACCTGACTCCGACATGACTGACTATTGGACGAAAGAGGAGGGAATGTTTTAATTAAACAGCTTCAGCTAAACTATCTATTTTACTGCAATACAAAGATACACATCAGTTAAATAACAAATATATATATATATAATTTTGAATGGTAAAACTTTTGAACGGTACTGTATTTTTCATACATTTACAGAGACCGAGAGTATACCATATAGAGAGAAATACACTAATGTTCAAAAGTTTGAGGTCAATAAGGAAAAAAAAAAAAGACTGTTGTTCATTTGAACATTCTATTAATCAAAGAATCCTGAAAAAAATGTATCACCGTTTCCACAATAATATTAAGCAGCACAACTCTTTTTAAAAAAAATGTTTCTTGATTACCGAATCAGCATATTAGAATTAATTCTGAAGGATCATGTGACACGGAAGACTGAAGTAATGATGCTGAAAATTCAGCTTCGCATCACAGGAATAAACTTAAAATATATTAAAATACAAAACGGTTATTTATAACTATAATTATATTTCACAATATTACGGTTTTAACTATTTTTGAACAAATAAATGCAGACTTGGTAAGCATAAGAAACTAGTTTAAAAAAAAATAAATTACAAAAATCTTACTGTATCCAAACCTTTGAACAATAGCGTGCATATACTGTATATAGAAAACAGCAAAATCGGTATAGCCACTTACATAAGGCTGTGTTCTTTTGCTTGCAACTGCATTTGAAGGTGTTATGGAGCTCTAAAAAAGATCAAATCATCATGTTTATATCACAAAATGCAATCCCAATCAGATCATAACAAACAGTAAACATACTGATCAAATAAATTGTGTGTATCATGTACAATATATCTCTGACCTACAGTGCAATTGATCTACTACTACTCTCTCATATACTGTACCTGCCCTATATTGACAGTGTTTGTGCATATATGTCAGTCCCATTAAGGTACTTTTTACATTTAAATGCAAATCCAAACATTTTCTTAAAAATGTTTTAAACATTTAGACCTGGTTTCATAGACAGGGCTTAGCCTAAACCTGGATTATGCCATAGTTCAATTAGGACATTTAAGTAATTTTTATAAATGTGCCTTAAACTGATAGAACTCAAGTTGGTTATAACCTTGAACAAATCTTTCTGCACAAGTATGATGATCTCGAAGGCAGCGCCGTGTCTGAAGGGCATCAGGTAGTGGATCTCCTCTTTTCCCCAGCGCTCCTTCTGCAGTGTGTTACAGACGATGTAGGGAGACCGCTTGAAGCGAGGATTAAAATGAAAGGCCACGTCTGCCCGAGGCTTCATGCTGCTCCCGCAGGTCAGGTCAACCTGAAATCTACAAGACATTTGACTGTTTATCACTGTCTGGACTGGCTGACAAAATCCAAATGTGATTCAAATGATTTTTGTTATAGAAAATCTTAGAAATGCGTTATTTCTGCAACTTTTAAAATTACTTGAATGCATCGTATTGTTCTTTGTTCCTTACGCATGAATGATCTAAACAAAGAATGCAATCATTTTTTTGGTGAGACAATCATTTACATTTTTCACAAATTTTGACTTCCTCAGTTTCATCATGACCAACAATTTTAACAAGCATCTAATAAAGAATACTCTGCTTGGTTAACACAGAGACAACAGTGTTAATAATGATGAGTGTGCTGGAGATATCAGACATATAATGCATGAAGCAAATTAAGATATTTGTTGTTAATAATAATAATAATAATAATAATTTCATTGAACATCTTTAAATCATGTAAAAAAGTGGAAAAATATAAATCCATTAATTAATATAAATATAAATATATAGTGGGTATAGAAAAGAATCACCCCCTTTTAAAATGATCACATTTTGTTGCTTTGCAGCCTGAAATGAAGACGGACACAGTTTTAGTTTTATCCAGCTGTATTTACTCACTGCAACTTATAACATCCAACTGAAAGAAGTAACACCAAATATGTCAGAACAAAAAAAAGAAACATTCACTGAGTTGGAAAAAGGATCAAAATGACTTGCAAACTCAATCAGGTGTAACTAATCACCTTCTCAACGGCACACAAAGCCATGCGACTTTCAAACGCTGTGGTCATTTTGATCAGCTCAGACACAAATGTTTGTCTAGAGTAATTTGTGCTTATTAGTACGCTTGAACTGGATCATCGAAGATCAGAAACAAAGACATTGGTTAATAGAACGGGATTAAATACATAAAGCATATTTGTGTTGTTTAACATTTAATTATTGCAGGTTTGCGTCATATTCTGAGTTGCATTATTTGTATTCATTTTGAGGAATACTGAATCTGTGTGGTTTTGTTTTTTTGTCAGTGAGATGCATTAACGCATATTCATATTTATTTTAGAACTACAGTAACATCTTCTGATTTCTCTCAACACTGTGAGTATAACTTACTTATTTGAAAAAGTAACTCAGATATTCTCTTGTAAATTGAAAAGTAATGCGTTACTTTACTAGTTACTTGAAAAAAGTAATCTGATTACGTAACTCGCGTTACTTGTAATGCGTTACCCCAGCACTGCTCCTAACTCCCATGATCATGAGCACGAGCCCTTCTTTGAACCAACACTGAGCTGACTCGAGCTAAATAATGACACTTTTGTATTTTAAAGCTGCTTTACAGCAGAATCTGAACTGTCTCCATAGCTGAGTTTCCATGACTGATTCTGATGCTTCCGTTTATCTCCGTGAAGCTGCTTCGACACAATCAGCCAGAAATAGAACTTTTTTATTTTAAAAACAAACAAGCAAGCCCTCTCCAGATTTAAAAAGTAACGCAAAAGTAACGTAACGCATTACTTTCCATAAAAAGTAACTAAGTAACGTGATTAGTTACTTTTTTAATGGAGTAACGCAATATTGTAACGCATTACTTTTCAAAGTAACTTTCCCCAACACTGCTCAAATGCTACTGTACTAGCTCCTGTTCTTCTGTCTAGAAACCGCGGTGATATTTAACATGAATAGAACCCTTCCTAACCTCGGCCGCTCACCTGTCAGAGTCACTGGGTGCACTGCCCTGCACGAGCACCATCTCTCCGGGCTGAAGTCCGCCCAGGATGGTCCCAGCGTAAGGTATCGGCTAGAGGCAGAAATGAAAATAATGAGTTTATTTTTTTAATACATTTTAAACCATTCACGTTTTCGTCACTGCAAACCAGGCGGAGCATTAACAGATAAACAACAGATGAAATCGCAATAGCGTTATACGCTAGAAGCATCGACCCATAAGCAAAACAAGCATAAGTAGGGTAACTCTTACTGGATTCATTATTGTTTGTTTCGGGTTTGCGACAGACATATTGGCGACGCTGTTCAGAAAGCCTCTTTATATGCTGTTATTGCGAGTTAATCACCATCAGAGGAAGAAAATATGAACGCTTTCTGCACTTTCACTTCCGCCTGTGAGGACGACGCATTCGGTAACCCGCGATATGAGCGCGACGCGTTTGAGAGGGACGCGTGTGGTGACCAATCAGCACGCGATATGAGCGCGACGCTTTCATTGACCAATCAATTGCGATATGAGCGCGATGCGTTCTGTGGGCAAAGTGTCGCGTCTCTATGGGCGGGCTCAAGGTGAGACTAGAGCCAATCAGAGTGCAACGTATTTAACGTTACCGACCAATCACGGCGCTGCTATTTGTGTAGTGGCGTTTGTGCTGTTTTTCATTCGAAGCGAGAAATAATGTGAATAATACTAATACAAATTCAATAATTTCAGACGTTTGCCCGCTTTGTTCTGAACATAAATGATCTCACTTTGTACCCCCCTCCCCCTGCGTGAATGTATAACAATGATAAGAGAGGAATGCGTTCCACTTGATGTTAAATCGAGGCACGTGACACGGAAGTAGCTGCAGATTTTTTTTTTTTTTACTTTATTGAACAATGTGAACTTTACAACCATAAATGGCCTGGTACAAAATGCTACATTTCTTATTCAGACAACAGACAAGCGGAAGTATCTGCAGATCCTGAACATCCTCAGTGGTTCATGCGCACACTGCAGTCCAAGCATGCGAGCTAGGGATGGGCGATACCCCTTATTTTGTTTTCGATACGATACCGATATTTTTCAAGGCAGTATCGGCGATACCGATACCGATTCGATACTTCTGCACTAAACTTTTAAATTATGAAATTATTAAATTACTAAGAGTAAAATGGGTAATGAAAAGCACTTAACTTTGTTTAAAACGCATTTTAACCCGTTTAATCCCAAAGTTTTCCCAGACATGAAAATATCCAAATGATGTGTCATTAGTAACCCTTTGAAATAATCAATACATTTTTTTGTGTGTGTGTGGAAAAGTGTGTGGAAAATGTTCTTTTATGGTTAGTCACAATTGTAACCGGTGGGATAATGTGTATACTGAATTAACATATTTCTGCAGTCTTCAATTTTTTTATATATCTTAGCCCCGCTATTTTAAACTGTTTGATCACATTCTAGGGTTACTATTATGCATAAAAAACTCTTATACAACATTGATAGGAATACTGAGATCAAATACAAAAAAATACACCCATCAATGTATTTCAAAATTGTTACTTTTTTGTAACATATATCATCACATTTTTATATTAGTGCTACCAGTATTACAACATTACTATTCTAACTTATTTGTAACATTTGAACTTTTGATTTAGTGCAATATTTTGTACTGCTATTAGGGACTGCCAGTGAATGGCTGTTGCGTGCATAAAATGCAACCTTTTTTATTCTGACAGTGCATGATTTCTATTAACATTACAGAATAGAACATGATCATCGCTAACAAAGGTTATTCGTCCAATTCAATGCATATTGTACGCATTATTATTATTATTGTTAAATAAACAAAATAACGTAAATAAAATGTTATTTTTGTTTGAGTATCGATATTTTCGATACTCGCGTCAGTATCGATATATCGTTACTTCGGATCGATACGCCCATCCCTAATGCGAGCGCACTGTCTGCGGGTCATCATCTCCTGCATTCTGGGGTGCTCCGCGGAGTTTTGTGTGATAGATGATCGGGTCGGGTTAGGGAGAGAGTTTGATGGAATTGGTGGATTAAGTGGAGGAGGAGTAAATTGTGTTCACTTTTTTAAATTGTACTATTTGCATGCATACTGTCGAGAGTTGTGGGTGACTGCATGTTGCTTTCGTTCACAGGCCACTTCCAGACTTCTTGTGAATTATGAAGAACCGTATCGGAGTCAGATATTGGATTTCTTGTTCAAGGTATTCACATGCGGTTAAGATGTGTGGCATTTAATGATGCACGTGCATTGAATAACCTTGCTATGTTGCCGGTTTGGTTTTATTCAGCCCAACTTTGGAGCTTCATTGCATATCCTAAAAGTAGAAATAGGAGGCGATGCTCAAACCACAGGTAATATAAAGTGTCTATGTTTGTCTTTCTCTTCCCTGCCTGTCTTGTCCGCATCTATTCGTTTATTAAAGGGGTCATATGATGCGATTTCAAGTTTTCCTTTCTCTTTGGAGTGTTACAAGCTGATTGTGCGTAGATAAGATCCCTGAAGTTGCAAAGACTAAAGTCTCAAAACCAAAGAGATATTCTTTATCAAAGTTAAGACTCTGCCACGCCCCCCTAAAACGGCTCGTTCTAACACGCCCCCACATATCTACCTCACTATGTGGAAATATTAGCATAATGC